CCCCATCTTCCTTCCAAGAAGCGGCTGGTGGGTTTGAACCTCCCTCCAGCCTTCTGCTTAGCAGTCAAATGCCTTAGGCTCTGTGCCACCATAAGGTCGCTTTAACAAAAGCAGTGACCAGAGGGACGGAGAAAAATCAAAGCCTATTTTATGAAAAGATAAAACCTTAATTACTTACAATTAGAGATGGTGGAAAGCCAAGGAGGAGGCATCAGTATCAGTGTTGGGTTGCCTTTTGTATGTATGGGGAGAAAGAGAAGAGAGATCTCAGATGATTCTCAATTGACTGGATGTACAACTAGAAGTAAATATGGAATGCTTAAATAATAGGTTGAGGCAGTGGGAAGATGATGAATTCCATGCTAGACTCTAGACATGTGGCATTTGGCATTATAGGTAATCATGGACATTTGAGTAGAGAAATTTATATATATGTGTGTGTGTATGTATGTATGTGTGTGTGTGTGTGTGTATGGGAGCTCTGGTGGTGTAATATCCAAGGCATTTGACTACTAACCAGAAGGCTGGAGGTTCAAACCCACTAGCCACTCCTCAGAATGAAGGTTGGGCAATCAACTTCCGTAGTCACACCACCTCAGAAACCCAAGGAGGGGTCACTATGGGTTAGGATTGGCTCGACAGCAGTGAGTTTGGTTTTTTTGGTTTATATGTATATGTGTGTGTGTGTGTGTGTGTGTGTGTGGTGTATTTGTATATATGTATATGTTGTTGTTGTTGTTGTTGTTGTTATGTGCTGTAGAGTTGTACCTGACTCATAGTGACCCCTCCTTGGGTTTCCGAGGCAGTATCACTATGGAAGTAGATCGCCCCATCTTCCTTCAGAGGAGTGGCTGGTGGGTTTGAATTGCCAGCCTTCTGGTTAGCAGTCAAGTGCCTTAGGCACTATGAGTGTCCTATATTCTATCTCTTTTTCTTGAATCTTTGTAGCATTCCTGTTATCTAGCACATGTTTTCTCTATCTAGCCAATGAGATAAATGAGGCTTATGAAAGGTTAAAAAAAAAATTGTACAATTTATATAGGTAGTAAATCTCAAAGCTAGAATGTTAAGTCAGGCTTCTCCAAATTCAAAGTCCATGCTTTTCCTGAGGATTAAAACCTGTGACCAAAATCTAAGGAGCAGATAAAGAATGGATCCCAGGCAAAGAGAGTAAGATGGCATCAGAGGGGAAAGAGGATCCAGTGCTATGATGAGAAACAAGGAAGGAGGGAGTTTCCATAACAAGATGGTACCATCAGTCTGTGAGGAGTGGAACATATCCCTTGGATTTGGCAATTAAAAGACCAAGAGAAGCAGAAACAAGATTATAGCAGGTTAGAATGGAATCCCCCACCCCCAGCACACCCCACCCCTGCACACCCCCCCAAAGAAACAAACTCACTGCCACTGAGTCAATTCCAACTCATAGTGACCCTACAGAACAAAGTAGAACTGCCCCCATAGGGTTTCCATGGCAATAAATCTTTACAGAAGCAGACTGCCCCACCTTTCTTCCACAGAATGGCCAACATTTTGGTTTTCAGCCATTTTGGTTTCAACATTTTGGTTTAACAACTGTACCACCGGAGCATCTAGGATGGAATGGGAGGCTATAAAAATAGTCTTTGAGAAGCTTAGCTTAGAAGGTAAAGAGAGAGAGAGAGGGGGTTGGCAACAGAAGACAACAGAAAGTCAAGGAGTGGTTTCATTTGTTTTTTCTATGGGAAGATAGAACCTTGAGTACTTAAAAGTTGATATGGTAGATATGCTAGAAAGTCAGGTAGATGATAAAATTAAAAGGGAATAATCAATGACCCGGGAGCCTTGGTAGCATAGTGGCTAAGATACTTGCCTGCTAACCAGACGGCTGGCGGTTCAAACCCACCAGCCACTCCTCGGAAGGAAGGTTGGGCAATCCTACTTCCGTAGTGATACTGCCTCGGAAACCCAAGGAGGGGTCGCTATGAGTCGGGTTTGACTCGACAGCACATAACAACAACAACAACAACAATGACCCGTTGCCATCGAATTGATTCCAACTCAGAGGTTCTATAGAAGAGTAGAACTTCCAATAGGGTTTCTAAGGCTGTTAACTCTTTACTGAAGCAGAGTGCCACATCTTTCTCCTATGGTAGAAAGGGGTCTGGTGGTAGATTTGAATTGCCAACCTGTGATTAGCATCTGAGCACTTAACCACTATATCACAAGACGCTTTATGGTCATTGAAGAGATGTAAAAATCTAGAGCACGAGTTTAGAGCTTTGCATTGAACTAAAGTAGGTATATATTTTCATTACATTAGGAGAGCATATTGGGCCTAAATGGGGATAGATTCGAAGGTAGCATAGGGTGACAGTGGAGGACAACAGGAAGGTCAGGTTTTGCCCTTACTGGTCTTTCCAAGGCCATTTTCTGAGAGAGGGTGTCTGTGGGGTTGAGGTTTTGGTTACTATGATGAAAACATTATGTAAAGAACTTGCAAACAATCTTCCTAAGATCCAATTCTGTAACAGAAAAATGACTTTGTGAGTTAATACAGAAGATACAAATGTTAGAATTTCTTATAGCATTTTAATTAAACTCCAAGAGTCTCTAAAAGCAAGAATGTTAATTGTAATATGAATACTATTTTCTTCTGCCATACAGATAAATATACACCTCAAATTGGAAATAGCCATTATAGAACATAGGTCTGTCAGTTATTCACCCGCATAATAATTTACATTCCTCTTGTGTCTATATTAATCATTTTTGCCACACAATGTTATCTTGGCAGCCACTAAGAAGCAAAAAGAATTCATGCCTCCATTCAATTTCACGTGCCAAACCTTTTCAAATATATTTGTACTCTGGAAAAGCTTAATAGACTACCTAGAAACCAAATAGACTACAGAAAAGCATGATATGGGCTTGTATAAAAATAGCAGTTAGAGGATAGGAAAATCAGGATGATCTATGTAAAATTCTATTATGTGAATATATCCTGCAATCATCATTGTCAGGCAAGAGTAGTATTGTTCATGAACAGAACAAATTCAAGAATAAATATATTAAGAAGGCTGTTCAGGAGAACCAAGCCAAGATGTTGAAGATAATATAATATCTTTTATAATAAATATTAACCCTAAAGGTATGCTCTAAGTCTAAATAGTTATAAATTCACATTGTATTTATAATGACCAGAAATCTGTTTTATTCTTTGAGTAAATTCCACTGAGTTTAGTTGTTGAAGACAAAATATATTGTATTTCTCAAACTTCCCTTTTCTGTTCCCTACACTGGAACTTATCTTTGTGCCTCAAAGAAATCAAAGGATCAGGGCTAGTCTGGACATAATAGGGGGAAAATAGGCATGGATCATTTAGAACCCTTTTAGCACTGAAGCACTGCACCAATCTGACATCAGTTTCTTCAATAGAAATGTTTTAAGCAGCAAGAAAATATTCTGTTTTTTGGCAATCAGCAGATCAGATAGAAGAGTCTAGCAATGCAACGAGGATGTGTAATCTGACATGATTAGACAAGGCTCTTTAGTACCAGAACATTCATAATTGAGACAAAGAAAGAGTATTAATAACACTTTCCTAACACAGCAGTTAGCCATTTTATATTTCCTTTCTTTAATCTTAGTGTTTTTCAACAAATCATGGGATTTAATAGCATGTTTTGGCAGATTAGAGGATTTATGGCCCAGATGTTTTTTGTTCTAAAAATGGATTAGGGTGTAAAGTTTGCTGGAATCCATGGAACATGTTGAGGCAAGCCGGTCATTTTATGTGTGATTAGTGCCTGCCTTCTGTCTCACAGTCCCTCCATCTGTCACAATTCACCAATGGATCTGGTTAGATTTAGCCTCATGTCACAAACAAGTCCCTTTTCTGGGCAATTTCATATTGCAGATTTATTTTATGCCATTTTATGCCCTAGTTAAAAGACAGTGAAAGAGTAAGATGCTAGATATTAGCTTTCCTTTAAATATTTACAAAATGATCTCTTCCGATCAATGTTCTACCTTACAATCATACGGATCATCATAATGTGCAATAAATATGAAATGACCAGTGGTGAAAATTATGTTAAAAACTAGTTTTTCTCCTTAAACCTGTTACTCATTGAAAGAAATGATTTGGCAGGTTTTGTTTTGTTTTGTTTTGTTTTACAAACTCTGGATTGTGGAGCTGCAAACCAAGATGGACATGTGACTGTCATATTGAAAGTGTGAATTAAGTGCTGCTGTCATTACCAGAGGAGCTCTGGTTGCTCAGTGGTTGAGATATTTGGCTACTAACCAAAAAGTTGTGGTTCAGACCTACTGGTCGTTGTACAGGGGATAGATTAGCAATCTGTTTCCATAAAAGATTTACAGCCGTGGAAAGCCTATGGGGCAGTTCTACTCTGTCCTCTAGGGTCACCATGAGTCAGAAGCAACTCATTGGCTGTGAGTTTGGTGGATTTGGCATTTACTAGTAGCCACAGTTTCATATCAAGCAATCATAGGTACTTGTGCTTCAAATTCATCTTCTTAATGATTATAAGTTTGTATCCATATCAAACCCTGCCACCTGTGGTTTATTCCACTATAAATGGATTTGGAGGAAGTCAGGAATTCTTTTCTTTCAGTTAATGTTTTATTCCTTCATTACATAGCAAACTTAATAGTGCGACACACAAACTCTAGATTAATCTTTCTAATACTGCGCAAAATTCAGAAAATAAATAAAAATTTATTTTAAAACTATGATGTTTTATACATCTTTCTAAATATTTAGAAACAGCTATATTTCACTTAAGTAGTATATTTTTGTCATAGATGTTTGGCACCATGTTCATATATGATTATGTAAATCAGTCATCCATTCATTCATTCACGAGACAAATCCCATTGAGAGGTTATTATGTGCCAGATACTAGCTCCTACCAAAATTATAAGTGATTTTTATGGTTAATTTATCTATGCTTGTGGACAAAACATATCCTTCATTATTCTTCCACATTCTCAGGTTATTTAAATGACCATGATGCTGTCACCAAGGCAATCCAAGAAGCTCGGCAAATGAAGGAGCAACTTCGGCGGGAACAACAGGTGCTTGATGGGAAGGTGGCTGTTGTGAATAGTCTAGGTCTCAATAACTGCCGGACAGAAAAGGTTAGTTCATGTTATAACTTACTTTTCAAAACTGCTTAAATTCCCTGAATGCTTTTCTTTTTTTATTATCTTTTCATCTTCTCACCATCTTCAGAATGATGTCAATTTCCCCTCTACAAATACAGAAGTCTCTATGTCCATCCTAATAAAAGCCATCTGAAAATAGGAAGGATTATATTTTTTTTATAACCATCTACAAATACTACTGATAACTAATTATTATCTTTTATGCTATTGGTTTGTGTTCAAATGAAATGACATTTGAAATACCTGGATCTGAGTGAAAGTTTTGCTTTATGAGGATGCTTAACTTGTATGTAGGGATGAGCTGGATTTGAGAATTCTGAATCTTCTTTAATCAGCATAAGCTTAGATGATACCCATGCTCATATTCTAAGTACTTAGAATCCCAGGCTTGTCACAATATGTTTCCAATGCAAAGTGCTGTTGAGTTTTAGGTGACTGCACAATTGGAAAACGTGACTTTATCATAAAAGAAAATGCACTTTTTTAAAATTTGACATTATCTTTATACCCAGTGAAATTTCAGAATTTGAGATATAAAAATGTCAAGCTTTTTTTCTAAGCATACACTGTTATTTTGTTCAGAGAAAAAATATTTTGAGTTGTTATTATAAAATGTTCAGAAGAATGTACTTCTTTTGGATTGAAATGTTAAAGTGTTACTGAATCTCCCTTTATAGAATCCTATGGTTAACTTGGGAGCTCTGGTAGCATAGTGGCTAAGGCACTTGACTGCTAACCAGAAGGCTGGCGGTTCAAACCCACCAGCCACTCCCCGGAAGGAAGGTTGGGCAATCCTACTTCCGTAGTGATACTGCCTCGGAAACCCAAGGAGGGGTCGCTATGAGTCAGGGCTGACTCGACGGCACATAACAACAACAACAACATGGTTAACTAGATAGGGTAGATAAAAGAAAAAAATATTTAAAAGATCAGCTAATTAGAAATACCTTGAAAGTTAATCATCATGGAAGCTTATCAGTCAAAGAGTATTGTCCAGAATGAGCAGATTGCTGATTTGGATAGCTTTGTGATTTCCTAGCTTTTATATGGAATTTGATCTGTAGTCTTTCAGAAGTTAGCAATCTGCACAGTGGAGGTGAGATGTACATGTGATCCTGTCACAATTGCACTTTTCCTATATCTTAATGTAGGTAAAAAGGATTAGTAGATTATTTCAATCCTATTCTATATCTGGAGGGAAGAGTATAGGTCAATATACAACCCTCTCAATCTTACAACATAAGAAGAACGACATCAGTGTAGGAGAGGGCACAACATTTTTATAGCTAAGCACCAGAAGGGAAGGGGAAAAGCAAAGTGACAGCTCTAAGAAGGAATGATAGCAAGCATAAAGGAATTTATATTCAAATATTTAAACATTCTTGAAAGGATGCTTGAACAGAAATTCCTTTTCTCTGCTCCCCATGTAGAAATGAGTTTAACACTCAGCCAGATGCTAATGCAAAGTGACTCAAGCTATTCCTCACAAGCATAGCTAAATTGCCATTATTTGTTAAGCGCATTGAATTCAGCTGTGGATACAGCAGTTGGTTGCATTCAGCAAGCATCTGTACTCTTTTTTTTTTTTTTTAATCCTCCAAAGCAGAGACAACTCTACCTATCTCCCCCCTCTCCTCCCCTGTGCTGGCTGGGAATTGTCAAGTGACAACCGACCAAATCCTTTTGGACAGGAAGCCTTCATCCTGAGTTCTATATACTTGCAAAACAGGCCTTGTGGTTGGATCAGGGAGCCCATTAAAAGCACTTTGATGGTATGGAAATTCATCTTCATGAAGCTCCTAGGCCCCTAAGCAGCATGCTGTTTAGCTGTGGTTACAGATCAGTCATTCACATCGGAGGGCAATAATTGTGCTGACGGCTTGTAAGGCAATGGAAGTACATAAAATAATCCCGGGCCCTCCACCATGGCACTGTGAGTTAATCTTCTCTAATACAGATCAGCTGTTGTTCTAACACATGACTTTATGCCAGCTCCAGTGACTCTGCACTGCCTTTTGATTAAGTAACAGGAGTGGAACCATCTGCATTCACTTTATTCCATACATGTCCATTGTTGGGAACCCAGTTTCCACTTCTTGCTCCACTCCACAATCAAATTTTATTTCTCTGATTAGCACCTCTTATTTGACAGGAGAGAGAGTGCCTTTGTTGAGCGCTACTATTTTTAATTTCCTTTTCCTCTTTCTTTTGTAGAATTATAACTACTTTTTGTTTTTCTTTAAATCTATTTTGGAAGTAATACTTGCCAAGACCAATTGATCAGTGAAGATGTTTCTATTCTCAAGAACGTTATCATTCCCAAAGTTTTCACCATGCATTTTCAATGTAATTGAATTGTATCTTTAATTATGATATTATATTTTTACAGGTTTTTAATTAAACGTCTTAAACATAAAAATGAAGCCATTATGCTATTTTATAATATGACATACTCTTGTAGTGTCTAAGTAAACTTTCTTAGCAGAGGGATCTGAATTAGTTCATCCTTCATGTCTCCCCTGACACCTTGAGAATGAGCTTGAGAATGTTGAAGCTCTCTTTGAAGCAGGTATTAATGTAGTTGCCTTTTCCCATTGAACTAGCTTGGATGTCATCTCCTCAATAGTAATAATTGATCTACTGGTCTGTACAACTTATGGGAATGAGATATTAATATCAAATTTATACCCTTTAATTAGCAATCAATTTAATATTAGCACCTACTATGTATTAGAAACTATGCTGTGTACAGCTGTATAGAACAAGAAAATTCATTTATAGAGTTTATAGTTTAGATATGATTATTGTTTTGACTGTTAATCATTACTATTTATATGTATGAGCCCACCTATGGGAATTGAAGGAGGACCCATATGGCTCAACATTTCAGATCAATTATATGTACCTCAGCTTGTTCCTTCACATAGAGGAACATCACTATACATATTGTATTATTTTCCTAATGTTTACTTTTAATAAAGATATTTACAATCACCCACATTTATCTGTAGCCAGATATGTAGACCACTTATTTTTTAAAAAATTTTGCTTCATAGTTCTTAATGAAAGACATAAGAATATATGATAATTAATCTTATATTTTACACTGTCATCTCATTTGAGTCCCAAAAGGACATTTTTCTCTCTAAAACAATATTCCTGGTCTATAAACCCAGAAAGTATGTGAAACATAAGAAAGGAAAGAGAGAAGAAGGAAAGGATCCAGGAGAGAGGAAAGGAGGAAAGAAAAGAAATTCAACCTTGGTATGCTTGGTGATTTACATCACTCTAAGAGGTGGTATTATGGCCTGAGATCCAGATAATTGGGATCCTAAGGAGGGGATAACTGTTTTCCTGGGTATACACATCTTACACAGATTAGCTTTCTTTCACATTTCAAATAGCCGCTATGCCTGTCCCAACTAGAAGGTCTTAATTCTGAAAAACTGTAATTGGACAGTGAAAACAATTAGAGGTGTGAAGTTAGGGAAGAATGTTTTTCAGTGATATGTACCAAAACACATAATGAAAGTCATTTTTACTGAAAATACATTTTAATTGAAGACTTCTAAAAGATTTCTCATTTCTTTACTTTTCTTGGAAATGTTTCAACATACCCAAGAACTGTGTATGTCAAGTTTCTTGGAAACTCTGAGACACAGTGTTATTTATAATTGTCATCTCTGGTTAATTATAGCCTGATTGTATATTCAGATAATGTTATCTTTTACCATATAGGCTCTGTTACAGACTAACGTTATAGATGAATAAGTAAGCTTCTCAGGAAGGAGGAATCAGAGAGAAAACCCTCAAGCATTTATTATTTATAATAAAAAAAAAAGCATCACTTTGCTTCATTATCACCCAAATGACACAGTTTTGACTATATAATCAGCTGCATAATCAGGTTCTTGACCTTGTGCTTGAACATATACACCAAATAAAACCCAATGATATCCAGTTGATTCTGACTCATAGTGACCCATAGGACAGAGTAGAACTGCTCCATAGAGTTTCCAAGGCTGTAAATATTCACAAGCAGACTGCCACATCTTTCTCCCACAGAGCATCTGGTGGGTTCGAACCACCACCCTTTTCAGTTAGTAGTTAAGTTCTTTAACCACTGTGCCAACAGAGTTCTTTAAACGTATACAAAGATCTCCCAATAGGGCTTCATAAAAACCTCGGTTTATGCCCTGATCCCACCAGTCAACATTAATACGATGGAGACCTAGTCCACTCACTTGAAATGAGGATTACACCAGAAGTTTCCCAACTTATTTCCATCACTCCAAATATGCTTATCCTAGAAAGAATGTACCTGTGTTGTAGTATGTTTGAAATCTTCTTTGATGCATTTATAAGGAATTCTAAAGGCAGTAGCTTAAACAAACAATGATTAATTTTTCGTACATAATGAAGCTTAGGAGTAGGATGCTCTTGGCATTAGTTCATCAGCTCAATGATATCTGGGTTGAAATCTCTGTGGTTCTTCTGTTTTTTTTTTTTTTTTTTTCAGTTAGGGTCACAAAATGGCTACTGCAACTATACTTGTCCTATCCATATGAAGGCAGGCAGATTTAGGAAGAAAAGAAGTTTTCTCTTTGACAAGTTTAGTCTTTTTATTCACATAGGAATGTTTCACCTTCTTTCTCAAACAAACTTCCACAAATATTCCATTGGCTAGAATCTGGTCATATGCCTACTCTTAAGATAATTAAAAAAAAAAAAAATCAATGCCATCGAGTTAGATCTGACTCATAGCGACCCCTCCTTGGGTTTCCAAGGTTGTATCACTATGGAAGTAGATTGCCCATCCTTCCTTCTGAGGAGTGGCTGGTGGGTTTGAACCACCAGCCTTCTGGTTAGCAGTCAAATGCCTTAGGCACTATGCCACCAGAGCTCCCCTTAAAATAATTGCTGGCCCAAAATAGAGACTACTTGAAATTGATCATGAAATTTTTCTGCAACTC